GTGAAAATGCGGACACACGCGCGAAAAACAACCATAAGCGTATCACTACGGGCGTGAGGCGGGGGCGTGGAAGTAGGCCACACGTTTTCGGACTGAACGATGTACAGTAGCAAATCCTGACAACCGTCGTGGACAAGCGACAGTACAACGGCANCTGACAGCCGTCGTGGACAAACCACAGTACAACGGCGTCGACCACGACGAAACCATTGCGTACAACCAACGACGAAGGGGCGTTGTACGTGATACGAGAAAATGAGTTGCATTACACAACACCGCAGCAAAAGACCCGCGGAAACAAAAGAATAGATCACAAGAGGCCATTGCAATTATGTGTCACTGCCCCAAACAAAGCACGTCAACCAGAGGTTCAACCCGGTACACAACATAACACGACACATCAGTCGCCGACACAAGACAAAAGGCACACACTCCTACAAGCACGCCCTAACGGATGCGCAATCACGCACATCACAAGAGGAACGCGGGACACAGAACACACTTTTTCGGCCTTCGCTTTCATGATGCTCGTACGTTTGAACGCCGCCTTGTACGCTGGTTCAGCGATCTTGTTCAGCTTGCGCCGCAGCAACTGTTGACTCCTTGTGAGAGAAGGGAGCGCGCCTCTGCATCCGAGATAAGTCCAGTCCGTGCCCTCGTCGCCAATGCTCCCATCGGAGTCGTAGTTGCCCTTCCCCGTGCTGCCGGCCGCGCCACCTCCCCCTGACTTCCCCTTGCTTTCTCCGCTTGGCCCTTGTTTTTCCTTGCTACCCCCATCGCTCTTCGCCGTCCGCTTGCGCTTCNTGTTTTTTCTTGCTACCCCCATCGCTCTTCGCCGTCCGCTTGCGCTTCGATTGCGCCAGCGGCCCGTCGTCTTCCAGCTGTGAAGTCTTCGTTCTCGTGCGTTGCCGCTTCAACGTCGTCTCCGCACTCCCCGCCGCCCTCCTCCTTTTCACCGGCACAGGTGACGGCAGCGAGGTTTCGCCGTCGCCCTCTCCTCCAGACCGGGCGACGGAGATCATAGCGTCGAACTCAGCTTCAAAATCGGCACCGAGCTCCAAAAAGTCGAAGTGGATGTGGCGAGACACCGTATTTTCGTCACCCCCAACTCCGGTTCTCGCTTCCCAACTACTCCCGCTGCGGTATAACAGGTGCACCCACTTCTGCCCCTCTTCGTTGTGCTTGATTTTTTTGTCAAACAGAAACAGGCCCCACATGTTCTTCTTGTACAGCTGCACCAACTGCCCTCTCCCGGTAGGCTCCCAAACCGCAATGTCGACCCCGTACATTTCGGGGATGAGTGAAAGCCAGCACAAGTCCAGCCACTCCGTCCGTAGCTTCTCTTGCACTATCAAATCCAGCCAACTGTAGGTCATCACGCCTTTGTCCGCCGGTTCAGGTGTGTTCAGCTCATACGGATGCATCCGGACAGTTTCAGTGCATTGAAGAGCGCGAGCCCGACGCGTCTGCTCAGTCGAAAGCAGAGTAGTCATGACCGCTTGCGACGCTGATGGTCCTAGGATGTGGGAGATGATGCTGTGTTTGAGGGCACTCTTCACACCATCAGACATTCGTGGAACACGCATGTTCGTCTGTCCAAGACTCGCCTGGAGACCTTTCAGCAAGGCGTGGTAAGCACAATCCCCATCTCCGGCAACCTCGTGCGCTTGAGCTTCGCGCGGGGGCGTGAAGGTGCGGCGGGATTTCCGTCTCTTGACAATGCAGTTCACCTTGGGAAGACTGGACTCAAACCCTGCCTTGTTGGCCGCGTCACGGCCGAGGCGGTAGGCTTGGGGCAGGAGCTCTTGGGGTGTGCACACACCCGTAACTTCGACTTCAGGTTCGGGGCGAAGAGCAGCAGCAGACACGGCAGCAGCAGCAGCAGCAGCAGCAGTAGCCATGATGGTGCGGGGGAGAAAAGCCGCCAGCAGGGCGACAAATTTTGTCTTCATCGCACCTACTGGCGTCTGTGTGTGTGTGTGGTCTGGCCTCTGTGTGTGGCGCGCACTAGCGGATCTGCACCGCAGTGGAACTCCCTGCTCGTGTATTACTTGCGTCGGGAACTGTGTGTCTGGTGTCCCCGCGTTCGGACTTCCTCTGAGAACGCGGTCTTTTCGCGCTGACGAGCCCGCGCTTGCAGTGCGACTCTCGACGAAAAACTTGTGCGACAGGAAGAGTAACAACATTCTTATCGACACTCAGGAGGGGTGTAGTCACAAAAGGGTTAAAGGCCGGCGGACTTGGGGCTGTTGTTTAACTGTGTGTATTAGCTCGCATGAGAGAGGAGAGAGGGAGAAGGAGGAGAGACCCCAATTCTCGAGAGAACACGGGGACTCCGCACTAACATCCAAAGCCTCTCAGCACATACCCTTCAAGTTGTCCCAGCTGCGTCCTACGTAACGGCTACTTTTCGACCATCTACTTTTACGCAGGAACAACTCCCATGCCCTGGTGCGTAGTGCCTAGTGCTGGTTCGTCACCCTTTGATATTTTCTTTGGGCGGGTGTGGAAGGCGTCCTCCTTAGTTTTGTTTTTGTTTTAGGAGTTTTTTCCGCGCGCGAAGCGCGCGTGCATAAAAAACGGAGCGATAGCGGAGATTTTTTTCGCAAAAAAACTGTTTTACATGGGTCCTTTTTGTTTCCCCGCCTCGGTTTTGCGCACGTTGAATAACACCGCCTGTCAGCCCGACCCCTGAATCAATTACTGTTCTCAAATTGATGTCCGTGTGTGTGTGTGTGTGTTTTTATTATTAGCATCGACCGCGCTAACCGGCTGACCAATTAAAAGGCGTCAGTGCCAGCGGGTAAAAATCAAGGTCCCTGGAAGGGGGCCAAAATTCGAAAAATGCGCAATGCGCTTGATGCGAATGCCAATACGACTCTCTCCACATGTTCTTTCACGAAGACACACATCTCAGCTACACACATGCCCTCGCCCGAACCTAGGAAGCCACTGATGCAAAGAGCGGAGGACAGCAAAAGGGTTATTTCAAGCCCAGCCGAAGCCAGGATATCGTGGTATGCTGCATCTCCCAATTTGATAATCGTACACTCCCAAGATCCAACAGTCATCGTGTCAGCAGCTAGATGACTCAAACAAAATAGCAACACATACACTGCCATAGCTCCACACATGCCCTCGCCCGAACCTAGGAAGCCACTGATGCAAAGAGCGGAGGACAGCAAAAGGGTTATTTCAAGCCCAGCCGAAGCCAGGATATCGTGGTATGCTGCATCTCCCAATTTGATAATCGTACACTCCCAAGATCCAACAGTCATCGTGTCAGCAGCTAGATTACTCAAACAAAATAGCAACACATACACGGCCATAGCTCCACACATGCCCTCGTCCGAACCTAGGAAGCCACTGATGCAAAGAGCGGAGGACAGCAAAAGGGTTATTTCAAGCCCAGCCGAAGCCAGGATATCGTGGTATGCTGCATCTCCCAATTTGATAATCGTACACTCCCAAGATCCAACAGTCATCGTGTCAGCAGCTAGATTACTCAAACAAAATAGCAACACATACACGGCCATAGCTCCACACATGCCCTCGTCCGAACCTAGGAAGCCACTGATGCAAAGAGCGGAGGACAGCAAAAGGGTTATTTCAAGCCCAGCCGAAGCCAGGATATCGTGGTATGCTGCATCTCCCAATTTGATAATCGTACACTCCCAAGATCCAACAGTCATCGTGTCAGCAGCTAGATTACTCAAACAAAATAGCAACACATACACGGCCATAGCTCCACACATGCCCTCGTCCGAACCTAGGAAGCCACTGATGCAAAGAGCGGAGGACAGCAAAAGGGTTATTTCAAGCCCAGCCGAAGCCAGGATATCGTGGTATGCTGCATCTCCCAATTTGATAATCGTACACTCCCAAGATCCAACAGTCATCGTGTCAGCAGCTAGATGGATCACACAAAACAGCAACACATACACTGCCGTAGCTCCACACATGCCCACGTCTGAACCTAGGAAGCCACTGATGCAAAGAGTGGAGGACAGCAAAAGGGTTATTTCAAGCCCAGCCGAAGCCAGGATATCGTGGTATGCTGCATCTCCCAATTTGATGATCGTACACTCCCAAGATCCAACAGTCATCGTGTCAGCAGCTAGATGGATCATACAAAACAGCAGCATATACACTGCCGTAGCTCCACACATGCTCTCGTCCGAAGCTAGGAAGCCACTGATGCAAAGAGTGGAGGACAGCAAAAGGGTT